AAAAAAAAAGAGCTGAATAAGCCAGGGGAAGCAAGCCAGTAAGCAGAGTTCCTGTTTTCTTCTTGAGTTCCTATATGATGAACTATAACTGGTAAGATGAAATAAACCCTTTCCTTCCCAAGTTGCTTTTCGTCATATTGGTCATAGTGTTTATCACAGCAACAGATAGCAAACTAGAACAAGGGAGATCAGTAAAGTGCTTGCTGCACAAGTATGAACACCTGCATTCAGTCCCCAGAACTCTGTTAAAAGCTGGCCATGGGCCTGGGGAGATGACTCAGCCATTAAGAGCACAAGTTGTTCTTGCAGAGGACCTTAGCTGTAGTTCCCAGAACCCGAATGTCTGTGATTTTAGTTCCAGGAGATCTAATGCCCTATTCTGGCCTCCATGGGGACTACTCACACATGGTACACTTATACACTCAGCCAAACACTCAATACACATTAAAAAAAAAAAAAAAAAGGGTAAATAGGTAAATTTTTTTTAAGAGTTGGGTACTTGAAAAGTGCCTATTATCCCAGAACTGGGAAGGTGGAACCAGAAGGATCCCTGGGGCTTACTGGCCAGCCATTTTAGCTGAGCTCCAGATTCAGAGGCTCAAAAAATGAGGACGGGCTAGTGAGATGGCTCCCTGAGCAAGGGTGCTTACTGTACAAGCCTGGCAATCTGAGTATGATCCCCAGAATTCACATAAAGGTGGAAGAAAAGAACAAACTCCACAAAATTGTCCTCTGACTCCACATGTATGCTGTGGCATGCAGTCACGCAATAATAATGAATAAAAATTTTTAAAAGATGAACTGGGCCTGGTGGTGCACACCTTTAATCCCAGCACTAGGGAAGCAGAGGCAGACGGATCTCTGTGAGTTCGAGGCCAGCCTGGTCTACATAGTGAGTTCCAGGACAGCTGGGGCTACAAGGAGACTCTGTCTCAAAAAAACAAACAAACAAACAAAAAAAAAACAACAAACAAAAAAGATGAACTCAGAAAAACAAAAGATGTATGTTCTCCCTCATTTGTGGATCCTAGCACCTAATCCTTTTAAATTCCATGTTCTTTTAATAAGATGATGCTGTACAGCAGTCTCTTCTGCATGAAATAACTACCATTATCATGACTTCAGCAATGCCTGCTTGCTAAACATCATCACAATTGGGCTTGTTGATGGTTATACTCCTTCATTAAAGCAGGGGCAAGCAGGGTCATTGAACCCTCACTCTTCCCAGCCAACTGTATGTAATTTGGCCCCAATCACACATGGTCTCCTGGATTTGGGGATGACTAAAGTATATAATCTGGGGAAGGCTAGGAAGAGAAGGCTTGAACCATGCTGGGTAAAGGCTTTCCACTGTGCATACCCTCAGGTCACTCATTTACCTCAGTAACCCCTCAGTCATCTCTGTAAGTAAGCTCAATAAATCATTGCTTCCCTGGAAAACTTTAATCAAACATTGGTTTGACACTAGAACCTTAGAAGGGGATAAACATTGTTTAGAAACCCCAGGAAAAGAATTCTCACAACAGATGGAAAATTTATTTGTTAATGTTATTATGTCTCATAATTATTTAAAAAGGAAAATGAGAATGTAAAAGGTGTTAAAAGGATATGGGAATGGAGCTATTTTCCAAAATAGAAAAAAATGAGAAAGCCTAAGCAAGTGATGAAGGTCTATGTAGGTGTGTTATAATATATAAAGGATGAGACAAAAATAATATACACATAATCTTAAAATTTCTAAGGTCATAGTTTAGTCAACTAGTTCAAGGAACAAAATATATATCTAGTCAAGGTTTATCTGAGAATGTTTGGTTTTTGCCCAAGCTTCATCTACATAGCACATGGTAATTAAAAGTACCAGACTGGTGGAACTAACCTTCTTGGATGTTTAACAGACATAGTTTGAGGCCTATACTAATCTGTTCAGAGGTACTTAAAGGACAGTTTTTGTTCCTTGCCCCCCAAGGTCGACTAAGTTCCAGGGGACTATGGAGCATCTCTCAAAATGTCCTGTAACTGTGGTGAGTCACCTGTCCTCTTGTTCAGGGAGGCCATGGAGACACGCCACCCCCAAGAAGGACTTGAACTAGTGTCCAGTCTACAAAGAGGAGGGTCAACACAGAGGAAACATTTCCTCCATGCTTCCAAGTGAAGCCGGCCACAGTTAAGCAGGACCTTTGACTTATCTTCACATAGATGGAATTGGTAAAAGAAAGG